GAAGTTGTTAACTGTTGTATTAAAAAGGAAAAGGGTACAATGGTAAGCAGAGGATTCCCACAAGCTGGGCCTCAAGCCAAAAGAATAGACTACCCCGGAGGGACAGCCTTGTACAAAAAATCATTCATACCTATAAACAAAAAGCCCCAATGTGGAAGAAGTGGGGAGCCAAGGGAGGACTAGGAAATCTGTCCTTTACATGTAACATAGGAAAAGGAAAACCAAAAAACGGATTATGAGAGACCGAGCCGGTGGTCAGCTCTCCATCTTTAGCCAGTTGACCTGTCTGGGCGTTGGCTTCCCTCCAAGTATGTTTTGCATAAGACAACAATATCCTTGCAAATGTGAGTAATATCATAAAAAATAAGAACCAAGTACTCCCCCGGGGGGGGGGGAGGAGGGGGGTCACAGATCTTGTAACCCAAGAGATTATATTTTATGCATCTCCTTCCACAATAAGTGGTTGAGGCCACTAGGGGTTGAAGAGCTTGAGGAAAGTGAGGAGTGTCAACGACTTAGCACATTGGGAATCAGTGTGGCCGATGTTCTTAGAGCAGGAAGCGAGTAGGTTGCCTTGGTGGTCGCGGAAGACTCCACCCACTCCTGTCGAGCCGGGATTTCCGAGGGAGCAACCATCGAAGTTAAGCTTGTGGTCGCGAAAGACTCCACCCACTCCTATCGGGCCGGGATTTCCGAGGGAGCATCCGTCGAAGTTAAACTTTGTGAGGCCCACCTGGGGGGGGAGCCAGTTGCTAGATCTATAGACCTGAGGCGATTGGGTGTGGAGAATGTCTTTCCATTGATGGAGGAAGGTTAAGGTCGGGACTCCTTTGAAGGTCTTGTGGTTAGAGGCCCAAAAAGCAACCTCCCAGATGATCTTGTGAAATAGGGCCAGAGTTTCATGCTTGGTCCCTTGGAAGATCCTCGCATTGCTCTCCGTCTGAATGAACCAGATCGTGGCTGCCATGGAAGATTTCCAGAGAAACCTACCGACAGTAGGCTACAAAGTGTCCCTTGAAAGGTTTAGGAGTGCCAGTAGGGAGGGAGGAGTGACCCAAGAAAGGCCAAAGAGTTGGAGTAGAAGGCTCCATAGCTCGTGCGCAAGACTGCAGTGTATACAAAGGTGGGGGGTTCATTTCTTCCACAAATGTGCACATCATGCAGTGGTTGGGGATGGGAACTCCCCTTCGTTGGAGTTAATCCACAATGAGGGCCTTTTTAGAGCATGCAATCCAATTAAAGGCTTGCACTTTTAGGGGGGCTATGGAGGACCACACCTGAGCTACAATGGTTCTCAGGGAGTGAGGAAAGGTGGGGGGTAACAAGAGGGAAACCACCCAAAAGGAACCTTAAGGGGATGGGGTCCACACCAAGCGGTCTATCCTGGAAAAGGCTAAGATGTTAGAGTGAAGAAGGGAAGACAAGGAGAGAAAAATCAGTGGTTTCGCGGTCAATGTAAGGGGACGTCTGAAGGATGGGTTTAAAACTCTCATATTGCCCGAGAGGGGCATCTCATTTGAGACAGTAGAGGATTGGTTGGTAGCAAGAGAGAAAAGGGAGGGAAAAAGGTCCCTGAAAGGGGTGTGGCCCAGCCAGAGATCAGACCAAAAGCGGATGCGATGACCTTCCCTAGGGTGGAAGTGAATGCTTTTCTAAAAGAGGTTGAGGGAAGACAAGAAAGACTTCCCAGCCCCTGATGCTCTGCTCGGTGTTCTCCCTTCCGGCAACCAAGTATTAGAGGGGATCTTGTACTTATAGCGAATGACTCAGGACCAAAGAAGGTCGTTCTGTGTAGCTAGGCGCCACCACTATTTGTTGAGCAACGTTGTATTCTATTTTCTCAAGATTCGAATGTCGAGTCCTCTCAGGTTTTTGGGTTGGCAAACTTTTTCCCAATAAATCAGGTGGTATTTTTTACCGTCAGCATCTCCTGTCCATAAGAAGTTTATCATCAACTGCTCTAGTCAGCTGGTGACTAATGTCGGCATGTGGAAAAGGGACACGAGGTACACGGGGGTATTGATCCAGGGTTGCCTTTATGAGGGTAGACTGTCCTGAAAATGAGAGAAACCTCCCTTTCCACCCTACAAGCCGTCTATCAACTTTGTCGATGACATGGGACCACTGCCTCTTTTTGGGTTTGCTGAGGCCCAATGGCATGCAAAGGTAACTGGTAGGAAGGTCTTCCACTTTACACTCCCACCTAGGAATGAGAACCTTGGTTTCCTACAACATGAGTTCATTGTCGATTTTGCCATGTTAACTTTGAAGCCCGTGGCAAACTCGAAGCATTTAAGAAAGAGGTGCAGTGTCTCAATTTTTTGCGGGACAGCATTTAAGAAGACGAAGGTATCGTTGGCGTACTGTAGGTGGGAGACCGAGGGTCCCCTAGGACTGCTTTTGAAGCCAGATAGGAGTCCCGACTAACACATACGAGAAATAGATTGGCTGAAGACCTCCGCTGAAATCGTGAAGAGAAAGGGGGATAGAGGGTCTCCTTGTCAGAGGCCCTCAAGAACAGAAAAGAAAGGCCGAGAATAGCAGCCTCTCATCCACCGTCTCCACCACTCCCCGAAACCCATCTCAGGCATCGTTTCGCCCAAGATATCCCAGTCAACGTGATCATTTCCCTAGTCAATCTTGAGGATAAGACCCGTTTGTTTGGCCAAGTGTCTAGAATGCAAGCATTCGTGTGCCACCAGAACTCCATCCAGGATCTACCTGTCCTTGATGAACGCACTCTGAGAGAGTGAGATCACGAGAGGGAGGACCTCTTTAAGCTTGGAAGCAAGGACTTTGGATAGGATCTTATAACTGGAATTCACTAAACTAATCGGACGAAAGTCCTTAAGTTCTTCAGCCCCTTCAAGTTTGAGAACAAGGGCAATGAAGGTTGCGTTCATTGCTTGGTGGATTATGCCCCGGTGGAAGAATTCATCGAAGAAGTCCAGGAAGTCGGGTCTAAAGGTGTCCCAAAAAACCTAGAATGGGGCCACTGGGAACCCGTCCAGACCCGGAGCTTTATCTTTACCCAGGTCAGCCAAAGCCGCGAGGATTTCAGGTTTAGAAAACGGTTGTTCCAACCATTGGACCCAATGGTCAAGAAGAGAAAGGAACTGCAGGTCGAACATCGTTTGGGTCTCGAAGGAGCAGTGTAGAGGGTTTTGAAGAAGGAGATAATGGCTTCTTCGATCTCGGCAGGCTGGCCCAGTATCTTGTGTCCAACCTTAATGGTGGAGATGGAATGGTCCCGCCAACGGCCATTGAGTATCCTATGGAAGAAGGGTAATTTGGGCTTCTAATTGGTATTTATGTCTTTCAGGTGTTGTAAAGGATTAAGGAGCAGTTTGGTCATTTTATTATTTTGTTTTAGTAAGGGATATTTTTGTTCATTTTTTCCAAGCCTTTGGGGATGTTTATTTGAGAACTCGGTGAAGAAAGAAAACCCATAGAAAGGGATTCTTGAACTCTTTGATTGTAGGCCCATAAAGAAGGCTTAGTGGTACCACCCAAGGTCCCTCCCCACGAAGCACTCTTCAATTTTTGTCTCTTCTTCCCCTTCTTACTACTTTTATTTCTTCCCCCTCTTACTTCTTTTCTCTCTTTTCTTTCCTTTGTTTTATAATTATTTTCTTTCTTTTCTTTCTCTTCTTTCTCTTCTTATTTCTTTTCTTTCGTTTTCTTTCTCTTCTTATTTCTTTCCTTTCCTTGAAACCTTCAGTACTTATTTCCCCCTAGTTTCTCTTTCTCCCTTATTTCTTATTTTTTATCTTTCTTTAATTTCTTTTTCACTTTCTCGAACCCTCAAAACTAGCAAACATTCCCCATTTAAAAAAATCCACTGAAACTGTAAAATTAACCCATGGGTCTTGCCTCGAATTACAGCTAAATAAGTCCCTTGAAACCTCAAATCTAATTTCACGTCTCAAGTCAAAACCCTAAAAAAATTTTACACCTCATTTACTTCAAAACTCTAAAACTAGTTGGGGGACCTTCCGGAATTAACTTAAAATTATTTTACACCTACTTCTCTCCGGGCTATGGTCTAGCTTTAAATTTGATTGGGATCAACTTCAGGAAACCTGAAGTGCTATGTTCAAGACATCTAGAGACTGTCTTTCATAACCAAAGACAAGGAATCTACACTACATAGAGATGAAAAATGTTACATAAAACTTGACTAACTCACGCCATCACGGTTAAATTGCAACACATTCATCACAACATACTCAACACCGAATCCTAAAGAAATGAACTAGATTAGCATAAATGTATGGCTTATGCATGGACAAGGAACATTGTTTCCATCATTAAAAAACTGAAAATTTCCTAAATTTTCATTATTAATAATTATTGTTTGCTTTCCGGCTCCCTTGAATTCTAGGTTGCCTCCCATGTCCCTGAACCCCATCATTAGGGCTGTAAACCCCATCATTAGGGCTGTAAACAGGTCGGGTCGAGTCCAGGTCTAGAAAATAAAAAGTATTAAAATATATGTTACATATTTTCTTTATATATTTTATTATATAAATTTACTATATATTCATATGTACCTCATACATATATACCAGGTCGGGTTGGGTTAACCCTGATGAAATAGGTTCCAAGTTGGACCCGTACTCGACCAAGCTTAGGTCAAGGTCAAGAGGACCCAAATCCAATCCAGCGTGTCTAATGTCGGTCCAAACCAGTACCCGGTCGTGTCCATGGGTCAACCCGGCCTGTTTCCCATCCCTACCCATCACTCCACACGTATCTAGGGGCATTGTAGCACATTGCTTCACAATAAACATAACAAATTGCCTTCACAACCACCAAAAAAAGAGAACAAAAAAAAAAAACACGGAGAAGAAGAACAAAATCAGCCCATCAGAAAGCAAAGTTATTCATGTCCTAAGGAATTATAACAGGAAACAATTAAAAAGTACTTGACGAGCACAAGAGGTTCCAACGCAGATATCATGACAAAATTTCTAAGAGGAAATTTTAAGAAAACTGACCTTTTTGCCTGTTTCTCCTCTAACTCCTTAGTTCGGTATACCACTTTCACTCCCTATCAAAAGCTAAATAAAATTAAACGCTGTAGTCAAAAGGCAACAAATTCTAAAATTCATAGACAGTTTAACAAATTCACAAGTCACAGAGCAGACTGCTTTAAATGCTCATGTGTACAATTTCCCGTACTCTCTTTGGAAAATGAGTATGGATTTCCGGTTTGTACTCACAGGTAAGCTTTCCAGAACTGCAGATACGTTGGAAGATGCAGCTTTTCCCTCCACAAATAGGAAGAAGCTCGTAACACCAATGACCTTGTGGTAAAAAATCCAAGGAAGAATCTGATCTAAACCCGCTGAAGTGCTTGTTGTGATACATATCTGTGCATTATTCAATCAAGTAAAGCCATCAATGTTGCAGAAAGAATCCACTAAAGGTCATTACTGTCTCAGCAGCATAAATTGAAAAATGAAGGAGAAAAGTGTGTACGATACTTCAAAGCAAAATTCGAAAATGATGGTTTCAACCTCTAATGTAAAAATACAAAGATGATTATTTTCAAGAATCTATTCACTCTCTTAAACATAAGTGGAATCTACATCAGATGAAGCTGAAACCTTTATACGATTCCAAACCATCAATGTTGCAGACAGAATCCAGTAAAGGCGACTACTGTTTCAGCAGCATAAATTGAAAAATGAAGAAGAAATGTGTGAATGAAATTCAAAGCAAAATTCGAAAATGATGGTTCAACCTCTAATGTAAAAATACAAAGATGCCTGTTTTCAAGAATCTAATCACTCTCTTAGGCATAAGTGGAATCTACATCAGATGGAGCTGAAACCTATATATGATTCGCAAACCTTGTTTCTGGATATGATTTTCAAAATATAGTCTACTGTCTAAAGAAGGGGATACGAGGTCTCAAAAGCTCAAGCGTGTTTTGAGCAATATCATTGTGTAATCATTGAGTTATTGAAGATTTAACTTGGCTCCCCTGGCTTAAATTGAGGTTGTTGGAAATTGTTTGGTGGTTAAAATCTCATATAACTCTTGATTTCAATGGATGGTTTGGTGGTTAAATCCCAGGTAACTCTTGATTTCAATCCATTGAGTTGGCGCATGAACTTGAGCATGAGTTTTGCATGTGCATGTGAAGGGCAGTTTGGTTCCAATATATTTTACTACTTCAATAGAGTTGATCATCCCCTAATTCCATTCAATCTCCATAATTTTACATTCTCAAAATCAAGTCCACTTTCAAATTTCCAATCATTTATTACCTGTCTTGTAAGATTAAAACAAAAATAGGCAACAAAATAAAGAAAGTAATGATCAATAGAAACGAAGAGCATTTATGGAGAATGACCAAGCCTAAAAGCTTATCAGCTCTAGTAATAACAAATCAGCAGAAATTTCATTAGTAAGAGCACCATAGGGTGTATTAATCTTACCTTGGGGTGAGCATCTGATGCAAATTTGAAGCCCCAATCATGGTAATATGGAAAATCTAATTTGTTGTGACAATCCCCTGAAGAAGAAGATGAAGAAGAAGAGGACGAAAGAGAAGTAGTGCTAAGAGGACTGGTTCCAGGAAAATTGCGGTTATCTCCAGGCCATCGAGAAGTGGGATCATTGAGGCCACCCCTCCATTGAAGCAAAAAGGCAAATGTTGCAAGGGTTAGGGGAAGGAGGGTGAGAAGAAGGAGAAGCCTAGATGCAAATCCCTGTTGTGATGGATAAGTCCTAAGAGGTGCATACGGACCAGCCATTAATGCGGGCTTCCTCTCACCTCTGGACAAAGCACTGAGCTGCAAAAGAAGGAGAGAAAGAGACTCAGCAAAATTGTTTTTGTCTGGCCAATAAATAGGATTTTAGAGATTAGGGAGCCAGGTTCCCTAAAGAAAAAGTCAACCCAACGTTTAAGAAATAAAGAGAGGACGAGAACCACTTGCATATTAATAAAGATAGAGAAGTTAGAGAAGAAAAAGATGTTGTGTATTGCCTGGCCACCTGGTCTATTTGAGAGTGAAACAGATTGAAAATAAAAAAGATCAAACTTATTCACTCTTTATCCATTATTTCAAAAGAATGACAATTAAGATGTACCATATAATAGCTACCCATTGTCTTAGCAAAACTGACAAGTTTGCCTTTATGTGGGTTTTTTTCGTAGCAGTTCACTCAAAGACCCAAAAAATGCCAAAATACATTTTTAACAACCCTAAATAACAACCAAAGCGAAGATAAGAAAAAGATAAAGTAACCATGTTGGTGTAGGAGTCCAAACAGCTCCCAATTATTTTAAAAATACCCAGAATATTTGATACATCCTAATATTTTCCTTCTAACACAAGAAATGTTTGGATGCATAAGCTAAAGCTGTTCAGAAAACTCACAATAAACATTTCTATACAAAACTACATATTATAAATGCCGGTACATCAAACAAAGAACCTTCCTAGAACTACTTCACTAGAACAATAATCAATAGTTAAACCCAGTAATTCCAAAGCTATTTTATTTCAAAAGAAAACAAAATGAAAATACTTTGTTAGCAAGCTGCTTCCTTGGATCCTTTCCTTCAATGAGATTTACGAGCAGTCTTCTTTAGCACAAGCCACTATCCATGTTCTCAACCTCAAGTAAGAATATTCTGTAATCTCAAACCCAAAAAAGATAAAAAGGTAACCAAGGAACTAGATCAAAGTGTCTAAAGAAGAGAGATTTGATCAATACTAGAAAATCCAGTAATACAATCCTCATTAAAAAGGGAAATCTAGCAAAATAATAACAAAGTAACAAGGAAGATAAACGGGGAAAGCATTCCAAACTAGAAAGGATTATGACTAGGGCACCCGCACCACAAAGCAAGCAAACGAAATTTAACACTAATAACTCCTCTCTTTCTTTCACCAACCATGTAACGCATTCCCTTGAACAAAATGGGCTGGCGTGAGGCTCTACTCATATAATTTAGACTGTGCACATAAGGAAATAAAAAAGAAATGTTGTATGAAAGGAAGACTTAATAAACAAGTGAACTAGGTCATATATTTTGGTCAACGTCATCAAAATGAGAAGCTCAGACAAAATTGTATATGCATATGCTTGAATATGCTAATGTTTATATTATTGCTAACTATTTGCACTAATAGTTGTATATATCAGTCCTTGATGACAGTTTTTTTTTTTTTTAAGTGTTTGATGACAGGTTTATTATGGTTGTACATAATAACAATGTATATGTATCAATACATATCAGTGCCGCTAGACACACATATAATTGTAGCAAATCAATGTCTATAAACACTGGTAACAACAGTATGTATATCAATATCTATCAATGTTGATAACTGATAATAAGTGCATATATCACTTTCCTCTTCGTCCAACTCTTCATGGGGAGCAAGGAGATGAAAAGGTGGTACTTGAGATCCTCTTAGGTTGAAAGATCACCATCTTGCCCATTATTGAAGCTCGCAAATTGCTGCTTCAGCTGCTAAATTTGCCTTTTAAGTTTCTCAATTTATTCATCTCTAGGAACACGAAGTGGGTCTACAAATATCTTCTGGCAGTGACCCTTCTCACTGCCATGGGTTTGCCGAGATCACAAACCCTAGGCAGGTTATCAGCAAAAACTTGCTGAAAACAACAAAATCTAGAAGAAACACCAGCGATAACTACGAGAAACCTAGGGTTTCCTCTGTACCCCAAGTTAGGGTTCCAAAAGCCTAAGCTTATCTTTCAATTTCAATTTTGAAAATTTTATGGAATGACCCCTCTAGGCCACAAACACCTCTTAAATAATATTATTTAATATTCAAGGACACTAAATGTCCATACAATAATTAAAATGACCCAAAAAGTCCCAACTTAAACATAAAATTCATAATGACAATTTTACCCTTGTGAACAGTAACCATGAACAGTATTGTTGAAGAGCAAACAGTGATTTGTAAAAAAAATATAAAACAAATCCTAGAATCCCTAAAAGAAATTAAAAATCCTAAAAATAAATCCTAAAACTAAAATAAAAAATATATATCTTTAGAAATTGAATAAAAATTAAAAATAAAATAATTTTGCCCTGCATCAATTTATGAGGATGATATGACCATGACAACTATGAAGAAACTTTAAATAGCCAAATAATAAAATATTTTGAAGGAAAAATGTGATTTTTTTTTATTTTTTTGGAGCAAGAAAAGCCCTAGTAGCAACACCTGGATTTGGTTCCCCTGGCCCATGATACAAAAAAATAACGAGCACTTCTTCTATGGACATATTTACATAGAGAAAAAACTTCTCACATATTTATTTATGAAATACAATAGATCTATATTTACATATATGGAAATCTTTCAATGGCCCCACAAAAAAAAAAAAATGTTCTTTTCCCCTTGCTACCTTCTATCATCATCATCGAACCTTTTTCCCAACTAATTGGAGTCGGCTACACGATTCCTGGTCCGCCATTCTGCTCCTCATATCTTTTCTCACCAATTTCAAACATGTCCTTTTGGGCCTATCACTTGCCTTTTTTGAGCATTCCATTTGAACTCCCACCTCCTAACAGATGTTGTACTGGGTCTGCGCCACACATGGCTAGCCCACGTAAGTCTACTCTCTCTCATCTTATCGCCTATTGGTGTCACACTTAAATTTTCCTGAATATACTCCTTTCGAATTTTGTTCCCTTCTTGTCTTGCAACTCATCCATCTCAACATCCTCATCTCCCCTACACTCATTTTCTATGGGTATATTATTTTTTGACTGCTCAAAATTTCGCCCCATAGAGCAAAGCTGGTCTCGCAACTGTCCTATATAACTTGCCTTTCAACTTCATTGGTACACGGCAATCACATAAAATTCCAGTTGCACATCTCCACTTTGCCCACCCAACTCTAATTCTATGTGTGACATCTTCCTCAATCCTTGCATTTTCCTGGATTATTGACCTAAGATATCGAAAGGGCGCTTGTTTTGGTATTTCCTAGCTTTCAATCTTAACTACTTCCTTATATCTAATCCTATTATTACTAAACTTGCATTCCATATACTTTGTCTTAGTCCGACTAATTTTAAAAGATACAGTAGGTTCAAGATTCATGATAAGTTTTGGCAAAGTTTTACATCGGTTGCCTGCCTAGCACAACCTAGCTCCTTTACCCGGGCATCAGACAGGTTAAGGGAAAGTTTAAGGTCCTCACCCTTGCTACCTTCTGTGTTACTCATAAAATATGAACTTTTATAGTTTCTAAAAGGATTCTTTTTTCCACATTGAAGCATGAGATTTGAGAGGATGGTACTGGTTATACCTAGATATAAAGTAGCAAGATGGAGTCAATTCTGCTACCCCTTGATGCAGGACTAAATTATATAGGATAGACCTTCTAGGAATAAATAATACAAGAGAGAGTTCCACTGAACTTTGACCTTTGAATGTGACCTCGTTTCTTTTATTCATCTAACAAAATTTGCCATTTTCAACAACTAGGAAGCTGAAGATTCTATTTTAAGTTAACACATGGGTGCGATACTAACTAGAAGTTTATACAATTACAAGATTAACTCTGAAAATAATCTGATATGCTTCCGCATTTCTTGAGCCCTGAAAATATTGCTTTCTAAATCAGAGATCAAACCAAAAACCAAACTCCAGGATTCAGAAAACAGCCAAATCACCTAAGAAGACCATTGATCCAATAAAAACATACCATTCCAGTTGGGGTGCCCCGGGGGGGGTTGGGGGTGAATCAAATCTATTGTGGACATGATTACAAATCAATCAAACAAAAACAGATCCTCTTCCAACAACGAGAAAGCATTCTCTCTAAGCCCCTGGCTCAGAATTTAACTTGAAAAGGAATATAACAAAAGAAAGAGGATGGATCATCAGCTACAAGACCATGGATCAGATATGCAAACTCCTTTGATAAGGACACATACAACATAGAGATCAAACAACTGAGATTTTCAAGTTTCCTAGAGATTCGCAAATAAGAAGCAATCCATGCAAATAAAACCCAACAGAAAACAGATACTTCAAAACAAAGCCAAAATCTACTGCCACCGAGAACACTCAAGCCCTAAAATGACAATATATAGAAAATGACAAACTCCATGAAAAATTAAGAATAAAACTTCAACCAATCTTAAGCCATGAGCAATCCATTCCTTCAATAGCCAATGACAAATCAAATACAACAAACAACAAATAAAAAAAACCAACAACAGATTTTATCAATTTTCTTAACCAGAATCACTTATAACATGAAACTCTCTAAATATCACAGGAAATTTCAGGGAAAAAGGAACAGCATTACTTGATTTAAAACCAATAGCTGTAGACAGGTGACAGGAGATCATAGATCAGTTTCCATTAGAAGAGGTAGATCAAAATTACATATCTAACCACAACAACATACAAACAACATGCAGTAATCCACAAAAACCCTAACCAGACATAATCTCCAACTGAAATCCTAAAAACCTAACCATGACCCTTCATCAAGATAAAGAGTACCCGTAAAAACCCTCAACAGATCAAAGGCATAATGGTTCGCATACTCCATGGCATAAAACAAGCAGAAATTGTAGCATAACCCCAGGGCATCGATAGAGAGATCTACAAGCCCAGAATAACCTAGAGAAGTAGACGCCATGAATCAACTATCAATAAAAAACCAGAGAGCCATGGTGGAAAAAAAAAATACATTGCTTATGGAAGGAAAATACCTTGAAAGTAGAAGGAAATGCGAATTGCTCTGATCAAGAAAGAAGTAAAGCCTGTTAACAATGAACCTCAGAGAAGAGAGGAGCCATTTTTACAGACAATACTACAGTTAATTCCAGTAACGCATATATTTTTCGGAGGTTGTAAGATAAATTTCCCGAACTTTTCTCTATGGGAAAAATAATTTTTTGGGGGAAAAATTGATATCTCGACCTTATACTATTCAAGTAAGGTGCATTTCAAATTCATGTTGAAGCGTTACGGCACCGTAGAGGTGGCATCGGGTTGGGTCCGGCCGGATCCAGACCTGAACCAGAAAAAAATATGGGATCAGGATCCCAAATCGAAGTTATCGGACCCGGACTCAACCCGATTGGACCCGAGCCAAAAATAAAATATATATATTGAAATATTTTTTAATCTAAATATATTTTAATGTTATATTAAATATATACATGTATTATTTAAGGGTGCGGTTGGTATAAAGCCTATGCTCTAAACAATCAAATTAGAACCTACTTTCAAATAGAATCGAGAAATATGGTTTCAATACTGAAAATATTTGTGATAGCCTTAAAATATGTTTTCATCTATATTTATAAATTTTAAAAGCTTTAAAAATAGTGTAGATCGATATATCTATGAAACTCTTGAAAATTAACGGTCCAAAAATGCGTTACAAAATACACTATTTCCAATACTTGAAATCTTTTTTTTTTATGTCAAGATGATCAATTTGAAGATATTTGAGCATCAAAACAACATCTCCTAGTGAAATTTTTGAGGTAGGCTCTAATTTGATTGTTTATAGCTTCGGCTCTATATAAAGTTTTTATATAGAGCCTCGACTCTATATTTAAACATCAAAACAACCTCTTTTAGTGAAATATTTGAGGTAGGCTCTAATTTGATTGTTTAGAGCCTCAGCTCTATATAAACTACCTCAAAAATTTTACTAAAAGAGGTTGTTTAGATGCTCAAATATCCACAAATTGATCATCTCGACATCAAGATGCATAGATATTTTTTGGACCGTCAATTTTCTCGACATCAAGATGCATATCCTCAAATAAATACGAGAAAATAAAATGGATTTAAAATTTTGAAAATAGTGCATCTTGTAGCATATTTTTTGGACCATCAATTTTCAAGTTTTCATAGATCTACTCGATCTACACTATTTTTGAAGCTTTAAATTTCATAAATAAAGATAAAAATATATTTTAAAGTTTCAGTATTGAAACCACATTTCTCGATAATATTTAAATGTGAGCTTTATTTTGATTGTTTTGAGCCTCGGCTCTATATAAACCGTAGTTATTTAAATATTATAACTAAAAATATACAACCATTTATTTAAATATTTTATATTAAATATTATATATATATTAACACTATTAGGGGTCGGGCCATATGGACCCGGGCCCGAATAGTATTCGAGTTCAACATTTGGACCCATGCCCAACGCACCGAGTCCAATTGTTGGACCCATCCCCCAACCCAGGTTGGGTTCGGACGTTGGGTCTAGGTCCATTGCCATCCCTATCCGGTAGTGAAGAACCCTCTAATTGATCATCTTAACTTTGAGATGAATGGATATAGATAAAAATAATTTAAGTTTTAAAAATAGTATATCTTGTAACTAATTTATTTGAATTATTTATTTTAAAGTTTTTTTAGATATGTTGGATCTTTAATTTTTTTAAAAATTAAATTTCATAACTGGGGAGAATTATTGATTTTCAAGCCGTGACAAATTTTGTGGGTTATTATCTAAGGAATTTGAAAGAGAAAATAAATATTGAAGATAAATATTGTGTCTCAAAAATGATATTTATTAGTAATTTTATTTAGACTAGTCATTCCAATTGTTAGGCCTATTATAGATGACTCAGAATTCAGAATCTATTTCATTTAAGAAATATTGCCTTATCATCAATTAATACTTTGGTAAATGGTTAAAACTGACTAAGTTGTAGATCTATGGGTTTACGAAATTCCACAATTTTCCAAAATCCTTGTAATCAAACGCAGTATTGTCCATTACTAGCAACTTAAAACTTTCAAACTACGGTGGCGTGTTTGATTGGGGGCTACTAATTTTGAAAGTTGTGTCCCTCTTCGGTGTAGCATGGAAACAACAGCTTCAAATTTCAACATAAATTTACTCTATTTTCGAAACCATATGAAACCACAAATTCCAATAGTGCAACACTTTCTATTTATTACATGAAAGTGTTACAATACTGGAAGTTGGGCTTTTAGTAATTAACTATGCCATAGTTTTCATAGTCGTAAATTCTCAATTATGACTCCAGCCTTTAGTTGTAAAACACCCCCTCAAACTTTTTTCACATTTTTTTGTTTTGTACAAGTATTTCTTATGGTTGTTTTCAAATTGGATTTGTATTCCAAGTTCCATTTAATTGATACCAACAAAATGTACTTGTTTTGCAGGTCCTATCAAAAATGTTATATAAATAATATCTATTTTTTTCTATCTATCTATTATATATTAAGCGAGAGAAGTTCCCCTTATTTTTTCCACACACGTTATCTCTCTCTATAATATTAACACATCTTTTAACCAAAAAGTACATACATCCCTCCCCATCCCTAAAATTTCTCTCTTTTTCTTTCATACCCCTCCAAACCATCCATCTCGCACTCCCCATGCCTAAAATTTATCTCTCTTTTTTATAATTTCTAATTTTTTTCTCTCTCAAAATTTGGAACTTTAAAACTCTTCCAAACCATCCATCTCTCAGTCCCCATGCCTAAAATTTATCTCTCTTTTTTTTAATTTCTATTTTTTTTTTCTCTCTCAAAATTTGGAACTTTAAAACTCTTCTATCTCTCATTTCACATGCATCTCTCCCATCTCTCATGGCTCTATCACTTCTTATTCATATCTCTCGATTTGAACAGCTGTGTCTCCTACTCTATTTAAAAAGATGCTTCGTAGCAAGGTTTCCAATCCCTCTATATACAAAGGGATCCGAACCCCTCATTTTCTCACTCTCTTCTCATCCTCGCTCTACTCTCCTACTCTCAACTATTCATACCATCTACTTTCTCTCTTTGCAAAACTCTCCATCCATTTTGACAATTATTGGTGCTTATACTTGTAAGCTTCAGTTTTCTTTTTTTGCAGATTTTTTTTTGTGTTACTATCTTTCAAATTATTTTACGTATGTTCAAATTCATATATATATATATATATATATATATATATATAGAATATATTACTATAACGACCCTCCCCCACCC